GGAAACTTGGGTTCTATAAGGGTTGAAGCAGGGTTATCGTCCGCCTATAGGGTGCAGGGGTGTATGTCCTCCTAAGCCCTAAGCCGCTTAGAGGAACTCGGGTGCTGATAAGCCCGTGAGTTCGCGCTACAACGGTATGTGGGATTCTTGTCCAGTTTGGTAGTTTCTACCAAGGACCAGGATTTAGGGTTAAGGGTTTAGAAGTTATACAAATTGCATAGGGTTCAGGTCCGGAGTTTTGACCGGGTTTTGAGCGAATAATGTGCGGGTCTCCGTGTTAACTTTTGCCCTACACAAATTTCACTTCAATACCTAGGCTTGAGGGTTTAGAGTCCAGGGTTTAGGATTTAGGGTTTGAAAAAGTATTGTGGGAGCCCTGCTATTTCTCAGGTATGTTGCTGGGACCGTGATGTTAAGGAATACTGGGACCTTGGGCGTTTACACGTCCAACCCTTTCCTCCGGCTTGAAGGTAAGACCGCCACGGCAACTAAAATCCCAAACCCTAAACCCTAAACCCTAAATTCAAAAAACCTTGCCATGACACCCCAGGCCCCAAGCCCTGGCGTAATAAGCTTCTGATGTTAATCCGATCCTTAACTACCCATACTTTTGCGGGGAGCTAAGGAGCTAGGGATAGTCTATATCAATATAATAAGGGGAGCGAAAGAGCCCAGGAATCTCCAAAACCACAGGGGAGTTCAAGGTATATAGCTTGAGATGAGTCATAAGTCATGGGCAATAGGTCATGTAGTCGCTCTTCGCAGATCTTGGCTTTTAAATTGCACCCGGCTACTGTACAGCAGTATGCACAACCACCAAGAGATCTTGCCTTACTTTGGGGATCAAGAGGTTCTTAAGTAGGTTAAGAGTAGGGATAAATGGTGTTGTTGTTTGGCTTGCAGGGGTTTTATAAGCATATCTGCTAAGTCCCCTGATCCCCCAAGTAGACTATACTTAAAAAAAGGATTGGGCCCCGAGCCTCTATGAAAACCCCCCCCCCACCCCTAAATACCAGACATACCCGTTATAGTACGTTTTACGAGTTTTGGAATATTTGAAACTTGGGTGTGGGCGGGTGCTGGCAGTGGGGGGAGGGGATACATTATGTCATTTTGTAGGCTTCTCCAATCAAGATACCCTGGGCCGTATACCCAAGTACCCGAATATCCTAATTCCCTAACACCCTAATATCCTAAACCCTATACCCTAAATCCTAAACTCTAAACCCTACGATTCGGGGCAGGCCTCGGTGCAATCTCGAGTGGCCTACCCAGTGCAGGCAGGGAACAGTTTAATGAAGACCCCGGAGGGTATCAGGGCATTGGGCTTTAGGGTTTAGGGAACCAGGGTTTTTTGTGTTTAGGGGATTAGGATATTAGGCTTTAGGGTTCAGGGAATTAGGGAATTAGGGTTTAGGGTATTAGGCTTTAGGGTATCAGGGCTTAGAGGATTAGGGACCAGGGTTTAGGGTATTAGGGTGTTAGGATTTATGGGACTAGGGTATTAGGCTTTAGGATTCAGGGGCTTTAGGATTCAGGGTATTAGGCTACTTGGGTTTAGGGTATTAGGGTATTAGAGTTTAGGGTAGTAGGCTTTGGGGTCTGCTGTTAAGGAACTGGAAATTACAATACAATGGGTACATCGCAAATAGTAGGGCTTCCGGGTTGTAGTAACTTAACTTAAGTTCCATAGGGATTATATAGGGATCCGAATATCAAAGTCGGTAAGAGGCAGGGGTTTATGAATCAAGGGTCTACAGTACCGAAAAGGACTCAAAGCCTTGCTTTGAGCGTAGGCCGGATCCGGATCAAATCCATCGCTGCCTCCGACAATTCACTACCTTCAGGCTGCTCCGTGCCTGGGCTCACTTGTGTCAAACTTGCTGGGTAGGCCGCTGGGATATTTAATATTTTCCCTAATGGCTTTAATAGGGGACCCTAGATATTCATGTTTTTCAAAGGGTTTTAGGGGCCAACCCAGCTTGCTATGGGTTTCAACTGCATGACGCCGAGATTGATTACGGCGTGAACTTTGCACCTCCCTGCCTCTCTGCGACCATGCAAAACCCTAAACCTTAAAGTTTGGGTTTAGGGTTTAGGGTTTTTTTCTTTCCAGAAGCTCTTATCTGGAGGTAACATGAAGCAACTGTCAGTGTAATTGTTGCAACGTTCCATAAACCCTCAACCCTAGTTTCCATTTTCCATTTGATTCTCTATTACTGGGGCAAGATGTATCCCTATGTATGTATATAACCTAAAGAATCCTGTATAGAATCCTTGCAGCTGTATATAAACCTGTATAATCTCAATATGCCAGTGCACGCTTTCCTGTGTTGGGAGCCAAGGCGAGGAAGCTAGCAGCTGCGAGTGGCGGCTCTGTCGTAGTGGCCTTCAAAAGCGTATGGGGTTATTTCGGGCCATACGGGGATTCCATAGGGGCTGTTCTAGGGACATTACTCCACTGATGGAGAATCAGATGGAAAACCAAATAGAAAGTATGGGGCCTGGGCCCAGCAGGCAACAGTTTGAACACCTCTGAAAAGTCTTGGGACCTTTTAGGAGAGTTTGCCTGGACCATGGCATTGCATGAGCCAATGAATCATCATTTCGCGTGCGTCTAGCTCGCGCAACTTAGCCTGCTGCTGTGCAAAGTGCAACGATGACGCAACATTGCCGCAACATCGCACGCAGGTGATTCAACATTTGATGTGGAAAGTGCAGACCTTGCAAAGTGGCAGTTATAGCAAGATGTTTCAGGGAGTGGACGCTCTTCGCAAAGCCTTTGAGCTGTACAGCCTCTGTGCAAGCTGTGCAGCAAAACAAGCTGCATGGCAAAGGTTTGTGAAAAAGCATAGTGCCGGGACAATTAGACCTAGACCTCAGCGGAAGCAGGTCGAGGTCCCGAGGCTCCGGCAACGATAAGCGCAAGTGACCTGTCCAGAGGGATGGACGTGTGTCCCGCGGCAAGGAGTCATTGAAAGGGATACTAAGGATTTTGGTTGTATTATGAAAGTTTTGCTCTTCAGGCACAGTAGCTAGCTGATTTGTTAGATTTGTTGTGACATCAGAGGCTCCCTACCGCCATTTGCATGGTGTGCTACATCGGCCCATGGAATTCGCGACTGCCTGTTCCCTCAGGCCCAGCCTAGTCTCCCGCCATTGAAAGCAGCGTCGCGCAAAAGACGTGTTCATGTGCCCATGCTTCAGTGCTGCAGCTTTCCTAGTTTTCTTCCTAATGTAGACCCATGACTAATAAACCCCCTCCTTCTAAGGGCCTTAATATTAGGATCCCTATTATAGTCCCTATTAAGGGGAGGGGATTTATTAGTCAGGGGTCTGGGTTAGAGGTTACATTTCGCAGTCTTTCACATTGAGGTGGCTGCACAAGGCAAACCTAAGCCTGCATGACGCCCAGAATTTGGTTCAGAATTTGGCAAAGACCAAATGGACTGCAAAGAAAGGATGTACCTCGCTTTCCGACGGCATGTCGCAGGCGCTGCGGTGCTTGTGCTGTCTAAACGGACTCTAATAATGGGAATATACTTGCCACGACCCTTTTCTTGCATTGACCTTCCTACTGACTATATTATACTTATTACACGATATTATACCATATTCTACTATCCTATATTCTCGGGGTTCCCTGCTTGGGGTCCAATTTCAGGCCTTCTCCTGACCGGCGCTGTGGGCCGTACATGCCAATGGATGCAAACCTTAGTTCGTTTACCGTATAAGGACATGTAGGGATAGCATTGGGGTTATATAGGAGTTATGTAGGGATAATGGAAAATAAAATGAAAGCTATAGGGCTTATATAGGGATTTTTTAGGGTTTAGGAGACGGGCTCAAACAAATGAAACATGTGAAAACAATTAATTACAGAGGTAGGGGGTTCCATACGAGTAATGGAAAAGACAATGCAAACTACTATTGTATATTGGAGTTATATAGGAACAACACTTAACAGGCATCAACTAAGAACTAAATAGGTGTCACACACACACATTTCCCTCTTAATCGCACCAACTACAGTATTGGCACCCACCGCTAGCTAGAAAGGAAGAAGTACAGAAAGGCAGAAAAATGACGAAGACAAAGGCGCTAAGTCAGAAATGACAGAAAATCTTAAAACAAGATTGCAAGCAAGAATCGCAGAACTAAAGGTGGAAAAGTCATTTGAGCGTGCTGTTTGCAAATGGGCGTTTGTTACGCGAACCCCACGTAACGTGCTTCCAGCTTTTGAGATAGCCAGATACAGTAGAAGTCACACAATTTCCAGGTGTTCACGCTCTCCAAACGTGTTTTGAAGTGTTTTGCAGCTTTCTGAAAGCTGCAACTGCATTCGTTTGCAGTATTGTTGCCCTCCCAAGATCTTCCTGGGGTTATATGGGGATTATAGAGGGGATAAAGGAACAGAAAATGCAAACTACTGTATACTATATTATAATTGCTTTAGCAGCTCCGACAGCGTCGTCCGATCATTGTGCAAATGTGACAGGATGATCTGACCTCTATGCTTGCACATGAGGGGGCTGCATATGTGTCAATGCTAACATTTGCAGTGTTTGGCAGCTTGTGATGACCTGTAGTGCTCTTATTTGCATGTGCTGTGGTCTCAGAACCGTTCCAAATTCTGCAACTTGCAGTAGTTGCAGACTCGGACGACCTTCAAGCAATGCAATTTTGCAGATTGGCACGCTGTGGAAACTAGTTTGTTTCTGACAGGGTTTTACCTTTTTAGATTAGTTTGTATCATCGCTTGACTTTCAAACAGAGTAACTCACAGTATTGCACCCTCGAGAGAGTTGAATTGTTGTGTGTATTTATTGTTCGATCTACATTCTTGCTTTTGCATGCAGATTTCCTTCTTATGATTGTTGGAGCATGCATTTCCGCCCTGAAGCGGCTGGAAAACTGCTTGCGCTCGACAACTGTTTGCCCCATGAAGCGTTTGTGCCCTGAGCCTGCAGTTTCCATCGTGTTCGCGACTTGCTGGCGCCATGTCCACGGACTCGTCAATTCGCCGTGGCCCCAAGCTTTCAAGCCATTTGGGTCCTCCAAAGCCGAGCTGCCCGCGCTTGTGTAGCTTGACTTTCAGGTATACAAAGACGGAGTCGTTGATGGGCTCGGACTTCTTCAGCCACTTCGATTTCTACACGGGCCCCGACCCGACGCACGGCACAGCATGGGGCTCAGTCTTACATTGCGTTTCTAGTCTATCCGTAGCGAAGATATTACATTGCATCACGTCACACCACTTGCATTTCACTTCCAAATTAAGGCTGCATAGTAATGTAGGGCGATAACACCGATTGCAGTTTGGCGCAATTATTGCCGCTGGCAACAGCAGCCTACATGAGGTGCAGTTTATTGACGAGAACACGGCCTGGAATGACAAACTCATTTCCGTCTCCGGGGTTGCTTGAATGCAACAGCTGCGCAATGGCTATGGAGTTGTTCACACTGTAGTGGCATGCTGGTATGCCTAAACATGCCCTCTGCAACCGCTATGTGTGCACGATGACGGAGTATTTGTTTTCAATTCTTCAGGTATCAAAGACTTGCCAAGACAAGGGCCAGAGACAGGTTTTGGATTGCACTCAGGGCTTGTCTGGCACATGGTTTAGTCAAGGGGTTTAGGGTCTGGCATGTTGGGGAATCATATGAGTCTGTGAAAAGCCCCGAGCATGACTCTCATGCACGAGCAGCCCAGACACGCGTCGTCATGCGATCCGACAACACCACTGTGGTGCCTAAAGGCGAGGGCAGAAAAGCCTTGAGGATCGAATCCAAGCAAAGCATCTTGGCATTTCTGGTTATGGTATACCAACGGTGAGTGGAGAGTGTGGTCTTAATGTGCACTTGAATTGTAATCTGGTCCAGCTTGCTTAGTGGTTTAGGGTTTAGACAGCTGGACTGATTTCAGGGTTGGATTGCTGTTTACTGGGATTCCCCAAATGGGCCCCCTAGTCTTCAGAAATCCTGAAGTCCACAAAGGATACAACAGCGGCCTTTTTGTCTTGCAGATGGACCATGTGCCGACTGCTTGTACCTCCTCTCGACTTAGAAATTATTTTGCAGTTTTTATTGTAGTATAAGCCCACGAATTTTATTTCTACTGACCTCAACTGCCCTAAGCCGCAAACCCTCAACTTACAGGAACCCTAAACCCTAAACCCCAAACCCTCAACTCATAGGATTATAGGTCTATGGGGGATTGCAGGTGGTGCTTGGCCGGCCTTCTGGATGTTCGGAGTCACTTGGCAGCAGCTTTCTGCTGGGAATCTGGGAGCACGGGGATGATAGGGATTTTGAGGGGGGAGGGTTGAGGGTAGGGATGTACAAGGGGCATATTGGGATATATAGGGATATTTGTACTGCCCCTATTGTGGAGAATCAAATGGCAAAGGTAATGGAACATGAAATGGAAACTGCTACGGTATTTAGGGTTTAGGGTGAAGTTTGGGAGACGAGTACCATCTGTTCATCCTTCAGAGCCCTTGTTGCTTGCAAGGCGAGAGTTATATGCCACCCAGTGCCAAGCAATCGAAACCATAATTGCAGAGGGGTTGACTCCACGGTATCCAGTCATAAGAAGTTCAAGACCTAGGAAACCTGTGAGAGTTTTTTCAAAACAGTTGCTATGTAGTCCTCAATAAGGATCCCCATCACCCGCGCTTGGGGTCCCCAGGGCCAGGGGCTGCGCATGGCCGCGCGCTGTTGAGAAAGTCCCGTGTCAAATCATTAGGCTTCGGCTCCACTTTTTCAGCACGCAGGATGATGCGCAACATGCGTGGCCTCGATGGGGCGAATTCGACATCTGGGAGACCATCCACATGCTGAACTATGCATCCCAGCATGAAGATCGATGCGGTAATCTGGGTTGCTGTTAAGGAACTTGGCATCCAAAGCCTTGTGCTGGCGCGGAACATGCGGAACTTAACTTAAGTTACCATAATGGGTATATATAGTAATGAATAGGGTTTCCCATTATAGCAACTTAAATTAACTTCCTTAACAGCAACCCAGTAATTTGTATTCTGTATAGAAGTGGAAGGCTGCTCGTCACACACGTCCTATTTCTTGGGTAGGAGGTCCTAGGATTTGGGGGAGTGTTTTTTTGTCTGGATCTCCTTCTCCCCATCCTTCAAAGTTTGCAACAGCTTACTGGGGCTCGTAGGGACTAGAGAAATACGCCATGTAAGGGTTATATACAATGATTCAATTCCCGTCTTCCCTACTAAGAACCAGTAAGACAAAGAGTGCTGAGGCAACCACGACCCTCCACACGAGGGAAAATTGCGATCAGTGTATGCCTCAGCCCAGAGCACCCTGCAAGCTTGATTCAGAGGTTAAGGGTTTGGGAGATGTAGGGGTTATACGGAGATAGGGATATACTACCCCAATTGTGCAGAATCACATGGAAAAGAAAAGTGGACAAGAACATGGAAATTGCTACATTATTTACATGCAAGCTATCACAAGCCGTCACTGCTGCTGCTGCTGTCTTGCGCAACATTGGACCCCTTCCAAGTCTGCTACAAATGATGTTGCATGCTCGACGCAGGCGAGCCGTCAATGAAGGCATCGATTTTCAAGGTCAAGGATGGGCTTTCGGCACTGAGCAGAACAAGGCCAAGAATTGCTGGGCTGCAAGGCTGCAGAGAGAGATTAAGAAGCTACAAAAGGATGCTTAGCTGAGCAGCCGTGCCTGACTGTGGGCCTTACTGTAGGAAAGCAGTTCGTTTGTAGCTTGGGCCCATCCAGAAAACATCAGTGCTTCCTCGAGCTCTGCCTATTGGCAGGCAAAGGGGTGCTTGACACATGAACTCGCACATGGCCATGTTCTTTTCGTGGGGGGTGTGGTTCGGTGTACGAAAGAGTTGGCTGCCGTATGCCTACATGGTACTGTTTTCGTGCAAGTCTTCCTGCGTCTGAGTTGACTTGTCCCTAAGGTCCACGCAGATGCAGAGTATGACAATCAGGGATGTGGACAGAAGCTCCAAGATGGATCTGCAGGTCCAAAGTTCAACACGCAGGGAGGCAGGAAGATATGGCATTTCTTCATGGCTTCTTGTTTTCTGTGAGCCAAGAATGAAGCATTCCAGCTGCAGGTTTTGATCCCTGAGCCCTAAGCACTGCACCCTTGCAGTGGTTTGGATGGGTCCAGCAGGTGGCACCTTCATCGCTGAATGGGATCCCGTGGTGGCTTGGATGCACTTTGCAAGGCCTTGCGGTCAGGGTTTAGGCTTGGGGCTACAGTTCTACAGGTGTGGCATTTTCTTACCGTAGATCAAAGCCCCAAGGTGAACAAGCGCCTTCGCACTTGGTTCTTCCCGGTGGGCCAGGACGTTGCCAACCCATGCCGCGCTATCCAGGTCTATAATCATGATAATATCCCAGAGTGTAGCAAGACCCCCCCACCTGTTAAAGTGGTATAATAGGAATATTAAAGGGGCCGAATATAATTACCAGAATCTACTATGGGGTGGGGGGTCCATCTAACACATCGTCACTACAGTCTCTCAATGTCTCTCAACAAATTATGTATAGATTAAATCTAGCGCTTCGTAATAACTACCTCCGAGGAACCCACCCCTGATCATAACCCCCTGGTGGCTGCATCTTAAAAGGCTGCGAGGTGGAATTGGTGCCAACTGAGCCGCATTTTCTTTGGAGCATTACAGTTCCCAATATTGAGTAAGATTATATCTTCCTATTTGGTATGGTACTTTGCAAGAGGAATATAACCTTTCTGGGATGAATCATCAAAAGCACTACTCGAATGGGAGTTTCTCGCAACAATCTCTTGTATGAAATTGGAGGTGACGGCCCACAAACATCTCCTTATCCTGTGTGTGGTAGTTGATCAAACTTCCTGTCCCAAAATGGCCATTATGGAGAACAATTTCCTTGATATCTCCCTGATAATTAGACCGGAACCCCAAGTATTGTCGCCAAGGACCTTTAAGATCAAACCACACATATACCAAGATGTTGCAAAGCCACTGTATGCTTTGAAGTTCCCGTATGGTTTTTCCATAGACAGTAGAGCGTCCCCAACACAGACACCAAAACGTTGTAATCCTCATTTTTCGGAGGGACAGCTAAATTTTGGGAAGAACCCCCCCACATCTACCCTTAAACCCTAGACCCCAAGCCTTAAACCCTCAAAGGAGCCGGAGCTCGGCGACAACCCGAACCCAGATCTCTTCGGCATGCCAAACTCCTTCTTCACGCTGCACGAGAAGTGGCCGAAAGCCCAGCAGAATCTGTCAAGCTACCCCTTGCACTTGCTGCCTCTCTCTCCTACCGTGGATGGAGAAAATCTTGCAGCACCTTGCATAGTTACGCTGTACCTAGGAACGTCCGGTATATTGGGTCCGGTGGGCGGTGTAAGGTTTCCTCCACATGCTGTAGGTCTTGCATTTCCTAAGCTTAAGCAGGTTTGCTTGTGCTGAAGGTGCACTGCTGGTCACTTCCACAACATGCGGATGGCAGCCTGGCTGGCATATGTTTGAGCAGGAAAAGGAGTTAACCTTCACCGATAGAACGCATCTTATCGTTGTTATATGGCAACTTCTGTCTGACAGTACGAATTGTGCCGCAAGTGCTTGTTGCAGAGGAAACAACATGCCTCTCTGAGGTGTTCGACGTCACCTTTTGCGGCAACCTGTCTGCCTGCATGGGGTTGCCATGGCCAAGATACCCTCAAAGGATGCAGCCCATCTTGCTGATGGGCGTGGGCCCGCACACATGATCTGCAGAGGGCAGCATTTCGCAGAGGGCAGCATTTCTTGAGCGTAGTCAGCCGAAGAACGTTTGAGCGGCTGAGGTGACTATGCCGGCGGCACCTTCAAATCGAACTGCCCTGAAGTTCAGATGACCTGCGAGGAGTATGTTCGGTCCAAGCCAAGCGCGTTTGGCAACTGTTCTGCGTTATTGGCCGTGCCGTCACTTGAGGTGTTACATTGTATGACATAAATTTGCTCTGCCCTGCCGCCGGTGTTTCTGTCTCAAGGCGAGACTTTCTGGAGCATCCGGCGACTGGCTGCATGGTCGCATTAAGCTTTCATCTGACTTGCCAAGGACAGGAGAAAGGCCACAGGGACCCCGAGCCTCCCCATAAATCTGCTTTAGGCGTGTTCGAGAGGTCCTTGTGTTCCTGAAGATAGGGCGAGGGTGCCAAGCGAAGCGCGTTTTGAATGTGTTGGTTGTCTTGTTCGCAATAGTGCCCCTGAGAAGTACAGCGCGTTCGCTTCTGTAGTAGACACCTGTTCCCGACCGAGGATGTCTACCAGAGTGCAGCAGTCTCGCACTCAGAACCTGCCAAGTTGCTCGTCATTGCTGAGACGTGGTGCTGTTATGGCAAGCCTGAGCATGTTGAATCCACATGCCGGGTGCGTGCTCCTATCTAGAACCAGGATGCCCTCCATCCTAAACCTAAGCCCTAAAGCCCAGTCAATGCGCTGGAGCCATCCCGTTCAGACTGACTTTGCCGCGCCTGCTGAGCGATGCGCGTGTCTAAACCCCTAAATCCCAAACCATTAACCCTAGTTCAGGCAAACCCTACAATATTGCCGTTTGCCTCGCCGCTCCTCCCCATGCCCGCCTCCCTCTGTCCTACGTCCTCGCCCGCCGGATCCTTGCTCATCCTACTTTGAGGTCCATGGAACTTAATAATAGCCACTCGCAACCAGGCTGCTTATAACAATTTATGATCCCCCTAGTTGGACTTATACAGCTTAGCCCAGGTATAGGGTTCTAGCCTCAGATAGCCCCAGTTTTAAGTCGTCCCGAAGTCCCATGAACCTGAACCCCAAACACACACATACACACTCTCTCTCTCTATCTCTCTATCTCTCTACCCCTAGAAGAGCTCTTTCCTTATAGACACCTAAACGGGAACCAATACTAATTACTAAGTCCCAGGACCCCTAAACCACCAAACCTTGCAGTAAACCCTACACTTAAAAATGTGGGTGTGTGTGTATATGTATAGAAATATATTATATGAACAATACATATCCACGTCACCCTTTTCAAGGGGCCCATGTCTAAATACTAAGTCCCATCAACCTCCAGGTCATGAACCTCCCCTAATATATATTGGTAGCATGATGGGAAGTGTAAGCCCGAACCCTTCAAGCCTAATCCCCAAACCTTAAACGGGAAACCCCAAACCCTAAACTCCTAAACCCCACACCCCAGTCCCTAAATTGGAAACCCTAAACCCCCCCCTCTCCCCCTCCCCCCCCAAAACAAACACTGAACCCTAAACCCTGAACCTTAAACCCTAGAACCTTAAACGCTAACCCTAAACCCTAACCCTAACCCTACACCTTAAGCAATAACCCTAAACCCTTTATTAAGTGGATGGGATGGGCCCATGGTGAGGTGGAGGCCTTGGACTACGCTCTGGAGCACCCGAGCCCACCCACCTGGCAGCTGGGGCGGCAAAGGGGGCTCTTAAGGATTTTGGCTTAGGGATTTAGGGATTAGGGTTCAGGGCTTAGGATTTTTAGGGTTTAGGGTGTAGAGTTTAGGGTTTAGAGTTAGGGCTTCGAATTCAGGATTATTCGCCACGTGGTTTAGGGTTTAGAGTGGCCTTGGGCAACTACAACCCTAACAAACTAAGGCATTGATCGTTGACATGCTAGTTTCCCAAAATAGGGGGACCTCAATATAGACCCTAATATACTATAATCCTTATTATAGGGACCCCCCAAAAAAGGTACGCCTAATTTTGGGAAACCACCACATGTTATCTGTCTAACAGTTTGCAAGGTTTGGAGTACTGGCTGCGATGCTTGTGGCAGCTTTGCTGGGCGTGGTCTTATATTACTACTGCAGCCAGCAACGCATGGTCGCGATCGGGCAGGCTGCGTGGATGCACTTGATTGACGGGGGCTAAACCCTAAACCCTAAAACCTTAAACCCTAAACCCTAAACCGCGTGGGTCTGATAAAGGCTGCCAAGTTTTTGCCGGTGAAGCTTTGGGGTGCCCAAGTATTCCAAGAGGCTGCAAGAAACGCCCCATAAAGGTGCTCCTAATTTGGGAAACCCAAATGCCTATCAACCAATCTATAGTCGCAGTTTGCCATTTCTTTTTTCGATGTTCGTTTCGATCTGATTCTCAACTATTGGATAATCTATCCTTAAGCCCCAATCCCGAAATTGGCTTTCCATAATCCCCATTCAAACCTTATATAACTGTATAGCTCTATAGAACCTTATGTTAACCTCTGTTGGGGTGTGTGTGTGTGTGTGTGTGTATGTATATATATGTATATATATTTCCCTAGACCCTAAGCCGGAGACCCTTAACCATATTCCTTCAGACATCCACCGATGTGGCTCAGGCCCTCACCGCGCCCGTGAAAAGTGACGGCAAGCTCCAGCTGCCCTTGCAGGCAGTGACTGCTGCCTGGGTTTAGGGTTTGGGATTTAGGGTAAGGATATCAGTAGCTTTGTCCTTTTAAAGGGGCTGCCATAGGGGTCATATCGGGGTATATAGGGATGTAAAGGGTTTAGGGTTAAGGGCTATAGAACCCCAATAACGGAGAATCACATGGAAAAGGACAGGCAAAATCAAATGCAAACTGGGATTGCTTAGGTTGTATTTGGGCCAGTTTGGGGGCAGGCTTTTGAGCAAGTGTCAGGCATTGCTCTTCTAGATACGCCAAGGAAGACCTACGCATGGGTTGTTATCAAAATTATTGTGGTTATAGATTACATTACGTCACCTAATATGTAGGGGCACCAAAAATGGAACCCTAATTTTTGGGTCCACATGCTCAGAGCTTTAGCCTCATCTTGTTTTGTGCCATTGCTACTTTATATCTTGCTTCCGTCATATCCATCGCGAAAGCTCGCCTGGCAAGCTTTGCCTTTTTGGAGGCCACGAAGCCGGCTGCAGGAGGGCTGGTTACAAGCACCTCGGCATCACCACTGGGGGGTCAGAAGCGCATGCTTTCCTGGGTAGGCCCCTGGGCTATTTAATATATTCCCTAATGGCTTTAATAAGGGACCCAATACATTAATATTTTCCAAAAGGTTTTAGGGGCCAACCCAGCTTCTTCCTATTGGTGCGCTGTTCGCAAAGTTGAGTATGTAAACAGTGTTCTCTGGCCTGTGCTCAAGCATTCCTTGCTTTGCTGCAAAGCCGATTTTTGTGCACCCTGAAATCAGCTTTCTGCCGGTATGTTGGAGACTGCAAAGCGGATGCTAGCCAAAACCAATGACCACAGACACCATGCAGGCCCGAGCTCCCGAAGAGTAGCTTGGCAAAGCCTAGCTCTTTGGTTAGGGGTTTGGGGTTCAGGATTTAGGGGGATATGGGGAGTCTATAGGAGCTCTATAGGGATAAGGTTTTTTTTTGCTGTCTGGGGTCTTCCCGTGGAGTCTGGGTATGGTATGTGTGATGGAGTGATGGAAAGTTGCTAAGTGGGCCTGATCTGAACCACTGTCTAAAGTCCTTACGGGGGGAGTTATATAGGGGACTACTATAGAGTTGTATATTCTACACTGCTTACAGGGGGTTATGTAGGGGAGTGTTGTAGGATTTTTAAGGGGGATACTAGGAGTTTAGACTACGTACAGCTTATCTGATTGTGGTACTACAGCAGTCATGATGTTAGACTCAGATTTGAGGGTGCCGCATTTGGGGAGTCATGAGGTTAGACTCGGTTAGACAAAGCCTAAACCCTAAATCCCTAAACGCTGAACCCCTAACACTCAACCCTAAACCCTGAACCCAGGATATACTCAGATTCGAAGGGTGTGATTGCTACTGACTGGTGAGTTCTGGTTCTGCTTGCAGCGGTGGTCCTGATGAAAGGATTCGTGCGCAACACCTGACCCTAAACCTCTAAACCTTTAGACTCCTAAACCGTTACTAGTCTTAACCATGATTCTCAGTAGTATTGCGATTATTTCGAATATCATGCTTATTATTAGTACTCCTAAGCCCTAGCATCTCAGGAAGTGTTTATTGCAACCAGTCCCACTGGTGGCCCGGAAGTGGAGCCTGCGCCACAAGGCCTGGAGTCAGAGGGACAAGAAGGAGAGGAGGGAGGAGGAGTCATAAGGGTTTAGGGTTTAGGAGTCATAAGGGTTGTAGAGGGTTACATCAGAGTTATAAGATGGGTAATATAGGGTTAGACAAGGGTAGCGTAAGCGTCATATAGGGCTTATAGAAGGGCAGTTATAGGGTATGAGGGAGGACACTACTGAAGGCAGATCGCTGATTCTGTGATTGCAAGGCTTGTCCTGGCGTCGCTTGTGGCTGATGTTCCGCACCTAGCCAAAGGGTGTGTCGGGCGCTCCTACTGCGTGCATATGTGCAGAAGCTGGAATGGAGGGGGCTTGCTTCAATCTATGAACTCTGCAAGAGTCAACAACATTCAAAAGCGACATGCGGGCATGTGAGTTGCTGGCCTCTCCGTCTAGTGCATTCTGAGGTTCTGCTGCACTAGCGACACTCCCAACCAGGCAAGCAGCAACTTGTGAGGGAATGCAGGAATATAACCTCTATAGAATGCCTATTTAGAATATACCCTTCTTCCATACCAAACACAAAACCCTACTATCCCTTATTCCCGCCGCTTTTCAGTTTGGAAATGATAATCCTTGAGCACTAACAATAGTAACGAAATGGTATTACTAATACTCGTAGCTTTGTTATTAGTACAAAGAATAGTGATGACTTGTATTTTATGGTCATGGCAATGGTATTGCTCATTAATGCAGCAATCGTCTAAACTTTGAGATAATGCGTAAAATGTTGCTAGGAGTTGTCAAAGGTCCGGAAGCTGACGGGACCTCCTAAAACCGTTAGAGCACGTTATTCACGCTAGTGCAGGTACTTTTTGGTCGATGCCAAGAAAAGTAAAGCGATGAACCAAGTGATACTCCTGAGCTGATGCGGAAATGCTTTGTCCCATGAGTGATGCAGCCGCAAAAAAAAGCGAAAACAAGAACAACAAAATGTTTGAACGCCTCAGAACCATTCACCAGTCTTCCTGACACGGTCCATGGTGTCCCTCCCCAACGTATCCGAACCGGAC